CTCATTTGTCAGCTCCCTGGTAGCAAAATATTTATATTAAAAATGAAGACAAAGAGTCAGACAAAGTTTAAAGTCATTAGGTTACATGAACTACCTGCACTTAGACCTGTTGCACTGAAAAATAAATAGCATGGACTCTTAACATGCACTTTTAGCAGAGGGGTTTAGGACGACTGCTACTATACCAGGTCGTTCAATAAGTTTGCGGAAAAATGTTCTCATTTCATAGGTTTTTTAATATTTTACCATGAAATTTTCACATGCCATATGAAATCTGACCTATAAGGTATGATTAGTTCTTGGGACACAAGTTATGTAAATATTCCTTGCTGTCATTAAACATAACAAATAAAATGCCATAAAAGACACCAATGTAAAACCTGTGAATATTTAACATTTTTTTGGCGAGAAAAATGTTCAGTGTTGGTAGATGTTCATTACAGAGAGGGTAATTTATACAGAAGTAAGTAGAGTATGTGCCGAGGAAGAGCCTCCACTAGAGACAGGTGTTCACTAGAGGGAGGTGTTTACTAAGACAGGATTTACAGTACTATATAATTAACAACAATGAGGTCATAAAGATCCTATCAGATCTGATATAGTACTCTACCTTATCAAAGGACAGTATTTTTTTGACAGCCTCGGGGTTTCAGGGTATCCTATCTTGTGATGCAAAACATGACATCATATCAGGTTACCATAGTAACCATGAAATCAACCAATAAAATAGTAGAATTTTAATTCTTGAGATAATAATTCAATAATTTACACCAAGTTTTGAGATGATTGGTCAAGCACTATTGCATTGTATTGGCAACATCTTGGACATAACTTCTGGTTCACCCTGTACACAAAAGTATTTCTCTGCTGGACTTGATGTATGACCACCTTGAAGGACTACAGTGAGACCTTGAAAATTAAAGCTAAACAATTTGACCTTTACTTTCTGAAGGATTTGGTACCCTCTTGCAAAATAAGAATCATTTTAAAAATTTCATTCAGTTTCAAAAAGAAAGAGGGCAAAATCATAGTCATAATATAGCCAAAATAAATATTCCTTTTGAGTAAAAAAAAATCATGATAAAGAACTATATTTTGATACCGGTTTAATACAGGTTTTAATACTTCTCTCCCTCAAGAAAGATATTGTTAATAGATTAATGGTTGAAGGATGAATACCCCTGTCAAAATGAAGGTTATTCTGAAAAATTCAGCTCTTGCACTAGTTTCAAACTCGACAGAGGTTGGAAATCTTACCTAACAACAGAAAATGTCTATTCTGAAAATTACATTTTCAAGGACATGCCCTCTATAAGAAGGCCTCATCAATTCAAATAATATTTCTAATTTAAACGAGGCAGGCAATGGACAATAGTGCCTCTGATGATCAAAACTAGTTACCTACTCAACATGCCAAAAACGAATCAGATTTTCATACCTAAAAAAACTTCCCTGAAAAGTTCAATTGAATCCATCAAACAGTTTGCTCAAGGAAATATATGGAAAAGGCAAAAATATTAGATAAAAATAGTATTTCTCACTTTTGAGATGATTCTAAATGGAGATCTGCATGATGATATTTTGTAAGCAATTGATAAATGAAATACTTTTAACAAAATTATGTCAATATTTACATAATAAAGTAGAATATATAGTTTTAATTCAAAATAGTTATTACCTGTAAAGTGGAACACCTCTAGAAGTAGAACACCTCTTTTATTAGAACACTTTTCAGAGTCCCAAGACCACCTGACTCAATGTTCAATGAACCTCTTTAAGTAGAACACCTCCCAGCACATTTTAGAGGTACCAAAGGTGTTCCACTATACATTTAATCATGTGTCTCTCCTCCGTGGGTCACTATTTTGGGTCAATATTAAAGGTTACATGAACATTAAGTCATGTAAAAAAAAGTATGAGAAAATATCCAATTTCGAATGTTACATAACCATGGTGGTTGCTAGGCCTATTATAGCTTCTCGTTTGATCTTCTTTCTAAATAAACATGAAAAATATAAACAAAATGTAAAATAGAAACCAATGCAGTACATAGAATCCTTCCAATGGTGAAAAAAACATGGAAAAATGCTACCTTTGCAAACTATAGACATCAATATTTCAAGGCAGAGATCAGGACAGGATTTATTGAAAACATCTATTGATTAATTACACCCAAGTACAAATGATCCAAATCTACAAGACAGCGATTTTGGTGAATTATGGGGGTTAATAACGAGATAGAAGCCAATCGACAGCTGAGCCATTCAGAGAGTGGGGAACTTCCTTTGTAGACAGACAGTCGCAGACAGTCAGGATAGGAGAATATATTGCCTGGAGACAATTTGGAAGTAAACAATCAAACACTTCTTCATTCTGATAACCAGAGTCAGAGTCACAATTATTTCTTAGAATAAGTTGAGATTTGTTATATTTATGTTCTTCAGAATAAATTCTTTGTTGAGGTTGTGAGATTGCACGATGATTCCAAATCAGATGATCCCATCGACAAAATTCCAAGAAAGTGATCTCAACCTGGACTTTCTCAATTGGTGATTGGCTTATATTAGTCACATGTTAATTTTGAATGAGGTGTTACCAGCCTACTGTAACACCTTTTAAAGTTGAACCTCTCCCAATATGAACACCTCCAAATGTGTGGAATCCCTTTAGACGTTACACATTAGGATGTTTTAACAACTCTGTGAGAAGATTTTTCGAAAAGTAAAACACCCTGAGAGTAATACAGTATAAAGGTTTTGCTAAATTCGAAAATATGCTATATGAACACAAATGAAACATCTGTTTTTTAACATAAACTTTAGTTGGGTGCTTCATGTGAAATGTTATGGATCAACGAACAATTGACGAGGGATGTTATTCAAATAAGAGCAATAATGAAGTTAAACTAGCAAAACATGTCTTCAGCTAACACTACTTGAGCCAGAGAGGAAGAGGACATATTGAAAGGTATTCCTAAGAGTCTACAGGGTATTAACATGAAAAAAATCACAAGCAAATAATTGCTAAAAATGTATCAATTTTTGACAAATGCCAAATGAAAACCGCAATCATTGAATTCCAAACACACATCACTGAAAGATTATCACAGTGAGGCAGTGAAAGGAATTTTGAACAGAAAGGGATTAGCCATCATGATAAACAAAGACATCTCATTTCTTCTCAGCCTTCGGGTGAAACAGAAAGATGCTATTAGTATCAGAATGGGGATTATCATAAAAAAGGGGCCCAGGTGGAATTTTTTATGACTTGTCATAATGTCGATCGTACAAATTTCTCGAAAACTAATAGGACTTAAAAAATAGGACCCACGGTCCTGTGCTCACACAGTTTGGAACCTTCGGAGGAATGTATATCCTGACTTTCAAACAAAAATATTGATTTGGATTTGTAGTCTCGAACTTTGAGAAACTTAGACAGCACAGTTGTGTGACCTAGTTTGATGACCTTTGACCTTGAAAATTTTACTTATTAGAGCTCAGAAAGGTCTTATGTGATTAAGCTGACCAAAATTCACATCCAAAAATCAATTTGAAAAATCAACTTTTTTGACCTTTCAAAGGTCACTGAAGGTCAAGTAAAGGTCAAATCCTAAATTAATGTCAGATTTGAACTCCTGGTAACTTGTAGGTGATTTTCAAAAAAATTTGGTCAAATTGAAGCAAGTTGAAAAATATCTTATTTTTACTATTTTTTGACGTCAAATATCTCAAAAATGGTAAAAATTTGATGCTGACATATATTGAGCAATATGTAGGGAATGCTTAAATCTAGTTATGATGTAATTCATTGCAAGAAATGATCAAGTATAAGGCAAACTTTGAGAAACTTGTCAATCACAAAACCTGCCACTGACTTTATATATAAGAAAGTTTCCTGAAAATGCCAAGTCCTACTTTTTGTCAAATTTTATAGAGTAAACACCAAAAACTGTAATTCCAAGAGCTTTGAAATCTTCAGAGGACATAAGTTGCATATACAGCAACTACTACAAGTTATTTGAAAGTTTTACTTCAACAAAGTGTCTAGTATTTACAGAAAATTTGACTTTTTGACGTCAAAATCAGCAATTTCTCGGAAACCGGGCGAACTTGGGAAATGGCGATGATAGGTCAAATAGGCATTATGGATATACATAAAATGACTGTGGATATGACTCAATCCGAATAGCAGTTTTAATTTGTGCAGCCAATGTTGACAGACGAACCAACGGACGGACGGACGGAGCCAACCAGGAGATGATGGGTAAATTATATATATATGTCCTTATGAATAGCAATTCTGATTTGAAGGACCGATGTAACAGTAAATAAAGGGACCGGTAGAAGGACATTTACCATTAAGTTATTAACACATCAGTGTGAGTAAATAATTTTACATCCCCTGGACTAATAACAAAAAAAAGAATACAATAATCAACACATATGGACTACACGCAATGATCACGCAGCCTGGTTATGGGTTAGATTGTTTTTTATTGTATCATTTATTTGAAAATAATTTAATTCAATTGTGGGATGCCCAATGAATTAAAATTAAATGTCAGTTTGTTGTTGAACACAAAGGCAGTAATTAACACAAGCTGAATAAACAATGTACTATTCTGACATTCATCATGAAAAACCACCTTTATTGGCATGGTAGTACAATTATGAAGATTGCATCCTATTATCAAATGATACATGCTCTTCTATGAACCTCAAACTAATGGGATATGGTAACTTGGGAGATATCCTCCTCTGTAGTATGCACTGATAATATTGTGAAAGTATGGGAGCAAACCTCTGCAGAACACCTACAGATAATCATGGGAGCTTACCTCCTTTGAATACTCTAACAGAATTGTGGGAAATCACATGATGAGAATGCATGGAGCAAAGAAAACATGTGACTGCCATCGGCCCCTCATTTCAGTATATTCTGATGACTGAAAAAATATCTGCAGCATATCGTACTGAAGGCAAATGAAATTAACAACTTACCATCATATTTTTCAGGATTGCTAGTCCCTTTACTTGATAAATTCGCACCATTTACTGCACTGCAATCTTCTTCATCTGACCTATCACTGCAATCTGCGAATCCATCACATTGCTTGTACGCATCACTAAGACACTCCCCGCTACCACATCTATACCCACATTGACCTGATACACAAAAATCTGTATAAATATGCGAACAATTCATTTTTAGTTAATGAGTTCTCATATGGGAATTTTGACAAAATTGCACAAAGTTCATTATTTATGTATGGTGATGATTTTTGGGATAATTTTTGAACTATTTCAGCTCCATTGTTTAAATATTTACTTGGAGAGAAGTCCTAGATATACCATAAAATGATGTCATAAAGTGCAGTAAAAAATGTCATGCAAAACAACTCTACAAGTACTGTCCTCTCAGTTTTATGCAAAAAATCTCAAATTATGCGATGGAATTTTTAAAATTCTGGATACTATGCAAATTGATACGATTTTCATTTTGTTAAATTATGCAAAAATATGCGATCGATTTAACACAAGAAATTTAATGAAATGATGGCTTTAACCTTTAGCGTGCTGCCGGCGAACGCGTCCGCCGAGACTAAAATGTCTTTCACAACTGCCGGCGGACCCGTACGCCCGATTTCAAACTTTTAAAAACTTTACTTTTTCGCGCCATTCGTATTGTCCAATTAGATTGCCCGATTTATTCAGTGCCTAACATGACTTCCTGTTGACCTAGAAATGGCGATATTTCGAAAAATAATTCTCAATTCAACAATTTAAACAGTGTTTTAGTCGTTTTTAGTGAACAAATTGTACAAAATGGCGGACAAATACAATCACAACGAAAATGTGGAGGAAATGGATTACGATTTCGAGCTCTTTAGGCTCTTGGAAGCCGATAATGGTCATCGAAAATAGAAACTAGAATATTTTCTGAATTGAAAAATTGAACATTCGATCGCTGCAAATTGAGATTTGGATTCTGACCAGACGAAGGGGCAAAGCGGCGGATTCCGGTGGAGTATTCATGGTATATTTATGCCCAGTCGTGTAAATGTACGAAAAAAATTCATGAGAACATTTTTTTCATGAGCCAGGCCACTGTATCTTCCCTTTGTGAAAATTTTACCCAGAATCATTCAGTAGTTATTGAGATATTAATTATTTAGTCCAGGCATATCATTTTTTGCACTCTTTGAAAAATAAGCCAGTTGCGTAGGATATATTTGCTGAAATAAGGCAGCATGGTAAAGGTTAAAAATAAAGCTACCATTAATAGCTGTTGTTTCGAAATGATATAACATATATTCTTGTGATATATATAACTGAACAAAGACACTGCATAGGTGCAGTGAGATAAACTGCCGGATCCGGATCGTTGTCCACTAAAAAGTATTGAACGTAGAACTATGAGTTCTTTCAATTTTGTCATTATTTTGATAAGGATCTGTTCCAGTAACACATATTCAGGTTAATCTATAAATCTATAAATCAATGGCCGAGTTGGCATTTATTGCAAGTAAATGGGGATTTTTGTCTTTTATCCTACTTTATGCGCTTGTGTGTGGATTATGTGGGCCAAGGTAAAATATGCGGAATTATGCTGCGGGCGCGTAATCGCATAAAACTGAGGGGACAGCAAGTAGAATGAATACCTACCTCCTAATAGTACAACACTTTTTGCTAATTCGATGGTGCTCTACATTTATAAATAACCTTTATTCCTTCGAATTACAAAAAGCTTACCTTCTTTTGACTTAAAATTGATAGTAAGACGAAATGAAGAAAAATGATCTGGTATCCAGTGATAGGTGACCCGTACTCTGTAGCTAGACCCTTGAAAGACTTGTGGGCTATCATAGTTTTTATACTTTTTACATATTATTCCTAAATTTGTTTCAACTCCATTGTTATTAATCTCAGTTATATCCAAGCTAGGTAAGCAACCTGCTGAATCAGCATTTTTTGAACTTGTGGCCATTTTCGCCGACTCAGCACTTGTGGCCATTTTCGCTGAATCTTCACTCTTTGGACTTGTGGCCATTTTTGTTGCTACTGTCGAAAATATTCTATCACTTTTGCTGTGTGTCGATGTGTAAGTCTGGCTATCAACAGGCGTGGAATCAAAGCCACTAATCTCTGTAAACGTTAATATAAATCCGTCACTTCTGTTGTCTTTGCTTTCTATATAATACTGACAGTAGTCATAATCTTGTAGATCATGGTCTTGAGTAGATATCTCAATGCTAGTGGGCGAGAATTCTTTAAATATACAAACTGAAAATACAAAAATGAAATACATAATTTAAATAAAGATTATTCCACGTGTATATTCTTGACGAATAAATGACAAGATTATCTATATAAGGGACGGTGATATATTAATATTCATGAGGAGCATATATGCGCTAACAGCATAATAAATAAACAAAACATTATGGAATTACACAACCAACATCTTTTAGGTTAATGGCCTACAACAACCATAAATCAATTTATCAAAACAAGGCACCTGCCATTTGTTACAGACAAACAACAACCATCAAACACCTAATACCAACTGCTGAACACCATCCACAAAACAATAATAACACTATAACAATATCCCACCACTTGTGAACCAATTGAGGAATTATTCCCATGAAGTTCATTTGCTGGAATGGTGGGATGCCTACCAAAAATAAGTATTCATAAATTATTAGGTCACAAACAGTCCAATGAATGCCATTACCTTTGCCAGTTGCATACGATAAATCATTTTAACTCGTATGTTACCCTTTGCAGTTGTTGACTTCACTTCTCAAAAGAGAGCTTCATCTTCAGTTTTTAACTTGACTGCACACAGGGTATTTGTTGCATAATATCACTGCAACATACTTGCAATTTAGAAACCAAAAAGAACAACTCTAATAGCTAGGGGTTCCACTGGAATTTCTTACAACAGGCTAATTGAATGAAAACAACGGGCAAAATTAATGGAAATCATAAATTCAACATGGAGAAGTTAAAAAGTTCCTCAAAACAACAGGCAATTTTGTGAAAAATAAAATCGCCTGTGTATAAATCGCCTGTTGCCTGCTGCTAATGAAACCCCTGTCTAAACAAGTACATTTAGTCATAATTGAGTAAAAAAGATTGCAACAAAAACAAGGCATTAACATGCAAAATGTCACCACCTACCATTTGTTACAGACACAGACCATGTTCCACTAAATGCCAACCATTGTCTATGATAAAAAAAAGTTGAAGACTATAACAATAAGTCACCAGCTTTATCTTTAAATAGTAAATTTAATTGAAGGTATCAATACTTTAGGGATATCTTAAGCAATCAAAATATTATATTACTGTATTTCTGAGAGACCTAAATGTGATAATCACTGATCATTTACTAAACAAAATAATACAGCAATGACAATTGTTTCGTATTATCATGTCATTCCTCACATTACACAAAAGTCTCAATATGTGATCTGCTTTTATAGGGTATAAACAGCAGACTCGGCAGATTTACTATACTATAAAGTGCAATATTATAATATTTCAACTCTCAGTGACTCCGTTATTGAGGGAAGGATTGTGAAATGCTAGGAATATATGACGTTTACGACTCATAAATAAAACAACAACTGGTTAAAGTTCTCAATACTAGACATACAAAAGCTACCCTTTATAAAAGGTTTGAGTTCGAATCTCTGAAGGAGACCTCCTTCAAGTTACCCTTTGAGTTTTACTTTGAATCACTGAATAAATCTTTGCTTGACTCTACCAATAAGAAACAAACCATTTATCCTTAATAATTAGGAAACATATTTTGATAATAAGTGACCATCTTGAAAATTTCTTCTTTAGCAGAACCAAATCAAAAAATTTGAACCAAATCCAAGCACTGCTATTTGATTTATCAAATATAATATTTTTTACGAAAAATGGCAGCCATTTTGAATATAAGCTGTCATCTTGAAAATTTTCTCTCGACAAGATTTCTTTTGTGTCTAGGCATCAGCATATAAAATATAAACCAAGTCCATCTACTGATATTAGAGTTAACAAAGATTACGTTTTCACCATTTTGATCACACAAGTACAAGTGATTTTGTGTCAAATTTGAACCCCTCTGAATTTTTCAAAAACTGAACCCCTTGGCAAAAGTTGGCTACAGGCCTGAAATTGAAGCCGGCTGCATCAACATACCTCTGTACCATAAGTCTACGCAACAATAGGTAAGTAACAATTTGGGGTAAAAGTCCAAAAGTGTATGGTTTTCCCATTTGCAAAATGAATCAATGAGCTCCCTATGCAGGGGTTTCATTAGCAGCAGGCAACAGGCGATTCTCACAATTTGTTTTCACAAAATCGGCTGTTGTTTTTAGGGAGTTTTCAACGTTTACATGTTAAATTTGCTTGTTGTTTTCATATATTTAGCCTGTTGTGAGAAATTCTAGTGAAACCCCTGCTATGGAGGACTCAAAACAGATGGTAACTATCGTGATCTGTTGTCAAATCCTGGTAAAATTGGGCATAGCAAACAGTATGAGCGTTTATATATATGTTTTATTGACTTTTATTTATTCTATGAGATATTACACTCTGACAAGACTGCTTTGTTTTTGTACTGACTAATATGTCATGTCATGACATCTAAAGAGTCAATAAAAGTTATATAAACTCATATATCTGATGTGTTTTATAAGTAGATGCCTTACTATTATGGTTTTGCTATCTTGTTGAAGTCTCGATTTTAATTCAATTTTAGGAGATTTGAATATTTAATCATTAGGGATGAATATTTGGCTGGATCAGAAACTCCCATGATGCTCTGCGAATTATTATTTAACTTGTCATGAATGTACAGAAACAGCTCAATCGATAGCGGTAAGTGAATTAACCATATTATCGCCCAATTATTTTTTCTAATATTTATTTTTCTTGATTTTTGAGACTCAAGTTGGCAATTTTTCATGGAAAAGAAGGCTGTGCGTTTATTGGAGTATGTGCGTCTATTAGAGAGAATACGGTACTGATGACAGCAACATATAATAATAAAAAAAGGACTTTACAGATCTCTTTGAAGTGTCACCAATATTACCTGCAACCTCCCGATACTGAATCTTCAAATGAAAATATGGACAGAAAATCTGTAGGAAATGTGCATAAATTCATCAGTATTACACATAAACCAATAGAACAGGAATGCACCACAACCCATTAGTGACAATAACTGAAATGCCATCTATCAATATTACACATAAACAAATTTAACATGTATGTACCACAACTCATTAGTAACAAGGCATTAGCATGCGAAATATCACAACCTGCCATTTGTTACAGTGACCGACCACCAAATACAATCCACAAAAAATGACTATGACATACACAATTTGTCGTGGTGGCAATAAATGAACCGCCATCTATATGACTCTATTCAAACTAACCCAAAAAGGGCATTTTGAATTATTACATGATATTACAAAGCAAACAGCAGTATATCAGTCCTTAATCACCCCAGCTGACATCTAAAACATGCTAGCAATGCCAAGCCCAATAAACATTAATCTATTGCTGTATGACTTAGTCTTTACTAGGCTATATATAGTTAACAAGCTTTTTTTTCTTTAAAAAACTCTTTTCAAATTTATTTTTTCTTTATAGATTTATATGTCATCATTTATTTTTTATTATCACTTAGATTTATACCCCAGATCTGCACCACCATCTTACAACACTGTTTGAGATTGGCAGTATTTGTACATTGTTTTCAATAACGCCGTCCTTACATTACATACACGCAAAATAAATCCCTTGGACAAGGAAATAAAAATGAACTGCGTTTTTTGGACGCAGTGCAAGCAGTATGCACAAAATCAACTTTGGATGAATGGTTTGATAAAGATCTTACTTTCAGTCTCTTTATTTTGTCAGAATCCACTAAACAATTGAAAGAAATTACATTTCTAAAAGAAATAAAATTTTCTTTTGAAGTTTCCTTCCCGGAAATTGATTTCTGATCGAAATAGTACGAGGCATGTGATAGGACAAATATTTATCCAATACTCAATTTCCGAGCAGTGATCAGTACGAGTCCTATGATTGGCCACTAGCTAACACAACCTGCCATTTGATTTAAACCATTTTCTATTGGTCAAAAGCGATCACCAGATCATTATTTACTAATGCGCATGCGCAAGAAACTGAACCAAAAAATTGAACCTCGCGCAGATTGCCCCTAAACTAAAGCAAAATCAGTAGCCAATTGCTTTGAAATACGGAAAGAAAATATGTTTCTAATGGTTGAATATAAGTTATACCTCATAAGTGATGGTATCTGTATCATTCATTGACATACTAGACTCACCAGAACACTGATTTAGACCGATAAATAGCAAAAGTGATACAAAATTTCATCAATTTTATTTCGTCCAGTGTAAAAGTGTGACTTTGAATTCCCGGGAACATTTTTTCAAGGGACGCAGTTTTTTGAGGGAGACACATTTTTTGAAAATCATTACGTCCCAGGGACGCAATCTTGGACAAACCTACTGAAAACTCTGGTACAAGGTAACTTGTTTATCACCTCAATGGCATTGTACGCTTAGCGAGATTTTTCAAATAATGTTTAAATATGATTATTAGGACACAAGACATAGATTCTTTGTTTTTAATCCCCTTGCCCACATAATTAAATCAGAAAAGGTAAATCAGAAAAAAACACATCTAAATATCATCAATATCAAGTCAAGTGAAAAATCCATAGAGCTTTAAAAGTACCATGACTGATGTTTTGAACTGTAAAAAATGAAAGTATAATTGAATTACCAGTGAATATAAAAGTTTCACACAAAAATACCAAAATATTGCAGGTAATAAGAGTGAGTATCAAAATTCATTGTGGAGAGTTTGGGATGTTCTGACAAAGCTTTGGCAATTGATCTTCATTCTTTATGCAATTAGATAAATAATGTACATCCTCTCCAGGAGAGTAGCCAGCTTTCAGTCAGGGGCAGCTGGGGGGGGGGGGTGCAATCAATGCATAACTTAAGAACTTCGTCCTTCCAAATCGAGCTACAAGCTTCAAATAAAACATTTTGAAGCTCTTCTTCTACCTACTGGTTATATTTTCATAAGTTATGAGAGGTTTGCAACCACCCCCTCCCTTCCCCAGCTACGCATTAGCTCTTTGTGTATGAAGTTTGCTACATGAAGGATGCTAGACCATGAACCAGAAACAAGTCAAAGGCAATTTAGACTTATAAAAGTATTTGGCATTATCTGTT